CATCTGGGAGCACTTTGCCTCTGGAAGCTTCTCCCCGGGCACATCCCCTGCCTTCCTGTCAGGGCCGGGGGCCGCGGAACTGGCCCGGCTTCGGCAAGAGCTAGAGGAGGCCAACAGCACCATCAAGCAGTGGGAGGAATCCTGGAAACAGGCCAAACAGGTACTTCTCCCACCCTGCCATCCAGTCCCTGGGGACACCCAGCCGAGCCCAGCTTACACGGAGGGGAAATGGGAGAACAGCACCTTTTCTCCCTGAAAGGACCTGTCCTGGGTGGTTGGCATCCCAGGACTTGAACTCCCTCAAGAAGCTGCTCTGCTCCCACAGGACCCCTGCCTCTCCCGGTCTCCAGACTCTGAGATGGACCCCTTGTCCAGCCATGGCTCAGGTGCCCCTGAGGCGCTGGCCGGGAGCTGGCTCTGCCTGGGGCTCTCCTGCTCTGCTAGGCTCTGCCCCACCCAGAGCGGCTCTTGCAGGAGGCCCTGAAACCTCTCTTCTCTGCAGGCAGCCTCAGCCTCCTCCCCAACCCCTCCCCAGATAGCAGGCCACACACCTCTCCTGGATGGAGATGTTCCCGGTGGGGCAGGGGGGCAGGGGTAAGAGGCGCCCTTGTGATGAGGTGCTGCGTGTTGGGCCCGCAGGCTTGTGATGCCTGGAAGAAGGAGGCGGAGGAGGCCAGCGAGCGGGCTAGTGCAGCAGGTGCTGAATGTGAGCTGGCCCGGGAGCAGCGGGACGCACTGGAGGTGCAGGTGAAGCAGCTGCAGGAGGAACTGGAGTGTCTGCACACGGGGCCTGACCCACTGTCCCTGCCAGCCTTCTCTGACCTGGAGGCTCTCTCGCTCTCCACCCTCTACTCCCTCCAGAAGCAGCTGCGGGCCCACCTGGAGCAAGTGGACAAGGTCAGCAGGAGCTTAGGGGAGCCATGGGCGGACAGGGCGCCCAGGAACAGCCCCCCCTTCTTCTGAGAACCCCTAACACCAAAATGCTGGCCTGCTGGCAGGAGCCAGGATGGGACATCACTCCTTGGGGAGGTCAGAGCACTAAGAGTTTGAGGGTCAGCGTCCATGCCAGTACTTACAGGGTAGACACTGACGGAACTGCCCTCGGCTGCACTCCTGAAGGCTTTTCCAGAAGGCTCTTCTCATCCCAGCAGACGGGCCAGGGCCAGGGCCAGGGCACCAAGGCTGTCCTGCTGGGTCCTCGGGCAGCTTGGTGTGGTACAAAGAGCATTCTATCCTTCAGCAGCCGTGGCCATGTGACCGTGGGCAGATCAGAGTCCTTTTCTTGTTTGGGGCAGAAGCCTTTGTGTGAGGGAAAGCCTGGCAGGTATGGGTGCACCTTCCCTGGCCCCTCCTGCAGTCTGTGGGCCCATCCCAAGGCGTCCGACGTGGGCCTAGGCCAGTGGCACAGCGTGTGAGACAGCGCCATCTCTCCCCGCAGGCTGTGTTCCACATGCAGTCGGTGAAATGCCGTAAGTGTCAGGAGCAGCCCCGGGCGGTGCTGCCGTGCCAACATGCCGTGCTGTGTGAGCTGTGTGCCGAGGGCAGTGAGTGCCCTGTCTGCCAGCCAGGCCGGGCCCACACCCTGCAGTCGTGACCCTGCGCCTGGCCGCCCGGCCTGCTGCTCACCTAGGACTTTTTAAAGTATATATAGATATATATATATATATATGTATGTATGTATGTATATGTATATGATCTTGTATATGTATACATTCTGTGTGCGTGCGGGTGTGCGTGGGCAGCCAGCGTGTGAACAGTGTCTGTGTTTATATCTGTGCATAGATATAGACACACACTTTAAAACCAACTTACCAAGCACTTTTTAAAAGAAAAACTATTTTGCAGCCCCCCCACCCCAATTCCCTTTTTCTCCCCACTGCAGAGACGAAACCCCTCTTCCCCCACCGGCCCTTTGGCAGGAAAATCTGTTTGTCCATTTTTTATTGTAGGAACTAACTATTTTTAACTTCTTCCTGGGGCCTGAGTAGGGAAGGGCAGACTCCACTCGCCTATCTCCCCAGGCCAGGGGAGCAGAGCTGGTAGGAAGGACTCGGGTCCCAGCTGTGAGGGCCACCAGGAGGTCTAGGCAGGTGTGCTGGGGACAAACCATCCTGGTTCACAGACTTTTTACCAAATGTGTTGTTTCCTTCTAAGAAGAATCAGCAGGGGCTGGCAGCCCAGACTCCAGCCCCATCCTCTCCCGACACCTGGGTCTGAGGCTCCTAGGGGAACAAGGCCCACAGCCCTCTCCCTCAGGTTCCTGAGGCCTGGGGTCCACCCTCAGCCCTCTTTCTGCATCCCCCAGAGCCACCTAACAGGCTGGCACTGCCCTCTCCGACCCTCAGCTGACCCCCTCTCCTGGCATGGCCCTCCGCCTGCCTTCCACCCCTCCCTCTGGCAGCTAGCAGGGCAATAGGTGGGAGGGGCCATGGCCCTGGCCCTTGAAGGAAGCTCCGCGTGCGTTCCTTGGTGCTCTCCGAGTGCAGCTGACGTCTTGCCCGGCCCGGGGCAGACGCCCGTGAGCATGTGTGTGCGTGCCTGTCCACTGTATATTGTGTCTTAGCTTCCATTTTTAAATTGTGTACAGAGAGGAGCCTTGGGGCGGGAGGGCAGGGCCAGTGGCTGGTGGTGACCCGCTCCCAGCACTAGTGTCTGGAGAAAGGGGGCTAGGAAGGGTCTGGCCCCAGCTCCGCCTTGGGCTCAGCACGCAAGGGCTTTCAATGAATTACGTGAAAACTTTTTTTTTTTTTTTACGAAAATGCAAAAATCAACAAAGCTCCAAACCTATTGGAAATAAAAGATGAACTTGCAGTGGTGGCTAATTTCCGTGGAGTCATGGGACCATGGGGCATGAACATGAGCAAAGCCTCTGAGCCAGCAGCTGGGTCTTGGAACTGACCCCACCCACTCACCCCCCAGATGCCTGCTGGGCTGTGGCAAGCCCCCAGGGAGAAACATCCAGGCTCCAGGGCCTAGCCAGAGCTCTGGACAGCCTGCATTCGTTCACACGTGACCGGGGTATGGCTGGGTGACACAGACCTCCCAGGCCTGGGGCTCTCCCCAGGACTATTTGCAGCTGTATTGCTTCCCCCAAATCAAAGAGACCCTAATTGCTCTTCATTGGAGCAGGGAGTCCCAGTCCGCCCTGTGGGAATGAGCTACATGGAAGTCCCAGAAAAGGGGGCTGCTTTTCATCCCACCCCACCTCTCCAGCCCCAGGGATGAGCACAGCAGCCCTGAGAGCCCCTCCAAACCCCACTGCTCTCAGCTGGGGATGAAGACACACCCTATTGTCATGGTCTCAGAGCTCCTCCACCCTCCCTTCTCCCATCAGTTGACAAGTGCCACTTGGAACAGCTTCACAGTCTAGACCTAACCCCCAGGAGGCCCCTCAGTAATGGGGCTTTCTTCCAGTTCCAGACCCCGCCCTGAGTCTGCTGTCAACTGGTAAAGTGGTGCCCTTGGAGCTCAGGGCACCACCACCACCACTTGTCCCTGCCTCTACATCAGTTACCCTCACCCCCACCTCGCTGTTTTGTGAATGAGGAACCAAGGTGGGCCAGGTTCTTCAAGGTCTCCTGGGGGCTGGGAGGGGTTGCTGCATAGCCCCTCTGTAAGTCAACAGCAGTTTCTAAGAGGACAACTGACTGGTAAGTAGTACGTGAGGGACTTTCAAAAGTTTTTGAAATAACTCATTGTTCACAAAGTTTCTGAAGTCGCCAATTTACAGATGTCCAAATGGAGTCCTGGTGTGGCACTGTGGGTTAATGTGCTGGGCCAAAAGGTCGGTGGTTCAAATTCACCAGCAGCTCGTCGGAAACCATACACAGGGTTACTGAGTCAGAACCGACTCGATGGCACTTAACAAGAACTAATGTGCAGCCTGCAGTTATAAGGCAGCCTCCCTCCCCTGTAAAAACGGTACTAAACCCTCATGGTACATACAGTGGTTCATAAGAAATGGGCGCTACTTTGAGACATGCATTAAAACGTGATGATGATGATGGTGACCGTGTTACGTGTGGAAGATGTTTTCGTATATCTGGAGGTGTTTATGTTTTTTATGCATGGAAAGGTACACTAGATACTAAGACAAACGTTTGACTGACTGAAGGTAGATAAGAAAAGAACCTGACTTCCAAACACATTGGGCTCAAAAGACAAGCGTTACGGACAAAGCTCATTTGTAATCCGGGGACTGCCTGTCTAACAAAACATTTGCTGTTTGTATGATTTATGTGTGTACAATTCAGTGTGGTGCAACCATAACTGCTGCATTTCAAGGTTTTTCTGTCACCCTTAACAGAAGCTCAGTGCCCCCTAAAGAGGACAGTAGGTTAGTACTTTTTATGATCATTGCTAATTATTTTATTTGCTAACCTATTCATGAATAGATGATTTGCTGATCTGTTGTTTCTGAGTGGTGGGAGCTATGCTAGGGCAGGGGTCCCTCTCAGACAACTAGCCAGGTTTGCTTCCAGCTCTGCTCTCCGTGCCAGCCCACCACCTACAGCTCTCACCTAGCTGCTGGCTCCTCAGCCAGTTGCTGGCAGCGCCCCTCTGTGATGCCACCTCCCTACCCCTGGGGGCTCCACCCAGGCAGCTGCAGCCTCATGGCCCACACGGTGTTTCCTCCCTCAGGAGGCTCGGCTGCAGCTTTGGCCCAAGTCGAACCAGGTAGGGTGCTAAAGAACAGGATCAGGGAGCCAGCACCCCTGCCCCCATGGCCAGAGCAGGCGGGAAAGGGACAAAGGGCCCAAGACCCTGCTTTTCCAGAGCTGCTTCTCCAAAAGGGTTGAGGGGCACAAGGGCAGTGCCAACAGCTGCCGCCCCCCATTTTGGGACTAGAGCAGTAAATATAAATATTGCTGACGGCAGCCCGTCTCAGGGGTCTTGGTCTGACAGGAGGGCCCAGGGGGGCTGGGTACCAAGGCCTACAGGACCCTTCAGGGGAGTGCTGGGTCACATGGGAGGGCTTCACTGTGGTGGGGAGGACAGGGAGCCCCACCCCAGCCCCCTGCTACCGCCCTGGCTTTAGGGCATGTTGCGCTGCCTGTTTGGCTCGCTGCCGCCGGGTCTTCACAAAGGCCTGGGCCTCACGGTCACCTTTGCGGCTCTCCAGCAGCTGCAGGATGGGGTCCCCTGTGAAGAGAAGGGTTTGGGGCTGAGACTCCAGGTAGGCCTACCCCCAGCCCAGGGAGAGGAGTAGGGCCTGAGTTGGGGTGAAGGGCCCAGCACTGCCCATTCCCCCAGCTGACCTGGAAAACTATGGGTGGTCCCAACCCCACCAAGCTCATTCCAAGAAGTCCAAAAGACAAGACAGGAAGCACCTGGTGATCTCCAGTACCAGAGTGCTGCCCTGAACATACTGACCCAGTGGTGGGGTGAGAAGCTGTGACAAGCCTGCAGTTGCAACTGTCACATTTTTATGAGAACCTTAAACTAGTTACCTAACCTCTTTACCTCAGTTTACTCATCTGTAAAATAGGGTTACCACTGGCCTAGTTAGAGTGACATGAAAACTGAGTCAACATATATAAAGACCTTAGAGCTGGGCCATGATGATACACAAGAATGAACGGTTACTGTCATCTCTCCTGGGGACCCGGTGCTGAGGCCTGCCCTGGTCAGAGACTCAGGCCTCTCTCCATGTTAAACCTTAGGATCTTCCCAGCCAGTGGAGGAGGCATGTTGTATCTTGTCTGGCTTAAATGTCACAGTCTCCTGATAGAATACTTTCTCCTCAGTAACACAAGCCACCATGCTGGTTCCACTGGCTTCTACCTCCCAAGAGGCCTTTTCCAACCCTAACTACCTTTCTGGAGGCACCCTGCCCAACCTGACAGGGACCCCACCCTCATTCCAGGTCTCTGCCTACCATTGGGTGCGGGGTAGGTGAGGGGCAGGCGGGTCTGTGGCACCTCGCCAGGATCCTTCTCCCCAGGCAGGCCGGGCACCGAGCACAGGGGCAGGAAGGCTTCGCCCTCCAGGTCATCGGCCCCAAGTGTATCATGGTCCAGCACAGTGAGCAGGACGCAGGCTCCGTCCTCCCGGCACGGCTCCACAGGCACGAGGCTGGGTGGGGGACACAGGCTCAGCTGCCTGGCCCTCACAGCCCATGGGCACAGGCCAAGCCCAGGGCAGGTGGGGATAAGTTGGTCCGAGTTCAGCTGGAATTCTTAGGCCATATGTGGTACTGTAGGATCAGCACTGGACTGCAAACCTCAAGGTTGGCAGTTCAAGCCCACCAGCTGGACCGACTCAGTGCCACTTAACAACATGGTCTGACAGCTCTGACCAAAAGCTTGACTAATCCAGGGGATCCTGTGTGCCCAGGCTGCCTGTCTGGGGGAAAGGACATTTCCCGGAAGCCTCTAAATCTAATGGCAGGCAGCCACCCATCCTCAGCAGCCCCATCTGGCCTCCCAGGAGCAGGTTTGGGGGTCTGTGCTAACTGCCCCCTCCCTGGGGCCCAGATGAAGTCACCATGGGGCAGAGGCAGCTAGAGCCAGGGCTGGAACTGGAGGGGATGGGGTTGGAGGAAGCGTAGCGAGGAAGTGTGGGTCCCGCTCACAATTCAAAGGTCTCATCAAACAGCGGGTGAAGGTCCTTCTTGTGTTTCTGGGTCTCCCGGGGGGCCAGCTCTGGGAATGCTTGCCTGGGCTCCAAGGTCAGCTGTACAAAAGGGTCACTGGAGCCTGGTACGTAGCCAAGGGAAGGGGAATCATAGGCGGAGGCCACGAAGCTCCCGCAGCACTGACCCCTCCTGGTGGTCCTGGGGAAGTACACCCAGGGAACACAAGACGGGGCTTCCACTCACCGTTGGAGTCCAGGGGCAGCAGGCTGGAGGCGCTAAGCAGCTCGATGCGCAGCTTCTGCTCGGAGGCCCGGTAGGAAGCTTTGACTGTGATCACCCCCAGCTCCTCGGAGGTAGCTTCTGCCTGCAATACAGAACAGGGCAGTATGGGCTGGGGCAGAGCCGGCTCCGGGTAGGGTCCCTACAGTGAGGTACCCTGGGAAGAGGGGCACCTTACCTGCTGCTCCAGCCGCCTGCAGAAGTAAATCTGGATGAGTCGTCGGCTGGAGGCCGCCTGCAGCTCTAGGTCCCTCTGCAAAGCCTGGGAAAGGCACATCCGAGAAGTCATGGAACTTTCCTGAGGAAGGTTCAGGAGCCCACAGGCAAGGGGAGAGACTCTAGTGTGACAACGTGGAAGCGTTAGGCCTTCCTTATAGGACACACCCTCAGGGATGTCCAGGCACGGGCGGCTTCAGGGTGCCTCGAAGGGTCTCACACTTGGTTTGTTAAGTGTTCAACTGCTAACGGAAAGGTTGACTGTTCGAACCCGTCAGCTGCTCCAAGGAAGAAAACAGTCTAATGATTACAGCCTTGGAAGCCCTAGAGCACAGTCCCATTCTGCCCTACAGGGTCACTATGTGTTGGAATTGACTTGATGGCAGTTTATTACCATCTTGAAATTCTTAATGATTTCTTCACTGAACCCATCAAATTTGTAGCCAGCTCTGACACAAGTGAGCCCAGAAAAGTGGAGTCCTATCATCTCTCCCACTCACCTGGAAGGTATCTGTGTGCAGGGCCATTGGTGGCAGGCCACAGCCCTCGGCGTGAAAGCAGACCTCCAAGTTCTAGGGGATAGAGACAGCAGAGGTGACCTCGAGCTCTGGCCTACCACTCTTCCTCTCATTGCTGTGGCTATACTTACCTGAAGAGCAATCTGCAACCTCTTCGAGGCCAGTGGGGAGCTCCTCTGAGAGGCGGCTGCCTCGGCCAGCACTGTGAGCGTGTGTGTCCAGAGCAAGGTCAGCAGGCTGGGGTGAGGCGCAGACCATGGCCGGACAGCCCAAGGAAAAAGGAGATGTGTTGTCGAGACCCAGGCCTACCCTGAACCTTCACCTCCCCCTGCTTCACAAGTGAAGGCTGGTGTCTGTACAAATGCCTCTCAACCAAAGTGAAAAATCCTTCTCAAAGTGGGGGGCAGAAAGGGCAGGAGGCTGGTCACCCAGAAGACAGACTCACAATTCAAGATGGGAGGGGCCAAATCAATAGGCTTTTAATGCATCTACTGGTGTGGCGCTGTAGGTTAAAGCCCTGGACTGCAAAGTCAGTTTGAAGTGCAAGGTCTGTGGTTTGAGCTCACCAGCCACTCCTTGGAAACCCTATACAGGGTCGCTATGGGTCGGAACCAACTCCACAGCACTCAACAACTACCTCAGAGGAGTGGGGGGAGACTACTGTTAGTGGCCCAAGACACAGTACAGTCCTCACAACTATCTGAAATTACTAAAAATTAACATGTGCCAACAACGCCAATCCAGCTGCTAATCACAATAATTGTATTATGTAATTAAGAGTGAAAAAAGGCCTACAATCGGAGTTTACTTACTCATGTATGTAGCACATCAAAATGCCTGTTATCCACTAAGTCCCTGGTATACACGGTTAATGTACTCAAGCTGTGCACTGAAAAAGTGGAGGCTGGAGTTCCACCCTGAGGTACCTCAGAAAAAAGGCCTGGTAATCTATCCCCCCCAAAATCAGCCATTGAAAACCTTGTACAACCTAGTTCTACTCTGACACACATAAGTTGGAATCAACTAAACAGCAAATTTTTTGTTATTTATGTGCACCCGGCACTAACCTAAAGGCTTCAGAGGCAGGATGACCTCATTTCCTGTCTCAGTGGGGACTAAATATTGGTTTATATGAAAAAGAGCTAAACAAATGGCATAATATGGCCTAAGGAACATAAAAGGAGGCCTTGCCTACTCCAACAGGAGTGGATGGGACCTCTAGGGAAGGGAGAGTCTGACAGCCTTCCTCAGGCCCTGGTTCTAGGTGGAGGGTTAATCATCTTCATCGTCATCATCATCATCATCACTATGGTTACCGCAGGCCATGTTCTCAGTACCTGACTGAACTCCTTTGATCCGCAGGTGAAGCTGGAGGAGGAGCCCACAGCCTATGACCTGTGCCCTGACGCCTGTGTCCTGGGCCTCTGTTTTAAGAGAGACCCTAACTAGAAGTGTCCCCCTCCGCCAGATTGTCAGAGGACAGAGGCGAAATCAGGATTTCAGCTCAGTCTAAAGAACTTGTAACACTTAGCTGGGACATGGACAAGCTTGTGAGGTAGTGAGCTAGCTCCCTGTGGCTGGGAATGAGCACGTGAGCAGAGGCTGGCTGTAGGTGACGAAAGGAACGACTCCCTAAGAATGGCTGTCTTGGGGAGGAGAAGGAGGGTGGGGGGGAGGCACACCTGCTGAAGTTCTCCTGCACCAAGTTGGTGTTCATGTAGCATAGCTCCACCTCCAGAAACTTCATCAGGGGCAGGATGGCCTGGGAACGGGGCAGGAAGCATGTCTGGTTCTGGGGATTCAGGGCCCACCCCCCTTGCCCTGGGCACTCAGGAGTTACCACCCCCTAAGTCCCAGGAAACAGGACCTGAAGCTTGTGTGTGCATCGTTCGTAATGTATCAGCTCCAAGGCCCCACACACACAACCTGCTCCCTGGCTCCCCTTTGCCCTCTTCTCCCCTTTGCCCAGTCTGCCCCAGCCCCACTGGCGTCTTTTATAGCAAGTCAACCTGCCAGGCATGGTCCTGCCTCAGGGCCTTTGCCCAAGCTCTTCCATCTGCCTGGAATGCTCTTCCCCTAGAAACCTTCATGGCTCCCTCTTTTGCTTCCTCTACCTGTCATCCTTGGAGTAAGGCCTTTTCTGGCCACTCGATCAAAAACTGCAGCCCTCTAGGGGACCCTTTCCATACATGTACCACTATCCAACACTCTCTGTAAGTATGGTGATTGTTGTGACGTGCCGTGGAGTCGGTTCCGACTCATAGCGACTCTGTACAGGGTTTCCGAGGCTGTGAATCTTTACAGGAACAGAAAGCCTCATCCTTCTCCTGCGGAGCAGCTGGTAGTTTCGAACTGCTGACCTGGTGGTTCACAGTCTGATTCATAGCCACTATGCTACCCGAGCTCTGTAAATATATACTCACCTTATGTCATCCCCTTACTAGAATGCAAGGGGCCCTGGTGGTGCCGTGGCTAAGCACTTAGCTGTTGAGTCCCAAAGGTCAGCAGTTCAAGCCTACCAGATCCTTCTTGAGAGGACTACCTGGAGATGTGCTCCCTGAAAGATTACAGCCTTGGAAACCTCATGAAGCAGTTCTATTCTGTCTATAAGGTTATAATAAACTTGACGGTGGATTTACAGGTCCTAAAATATAAAATCTGGACTCCTAGTGTGGTGCTGTAAGGAGCTCTGGTAGCGTAGTGGTTATGAATTGGGCTGCTAATCTCAGGGTCAGCAGTTCGAAACTACCAGCTATTCCATGGGAGAAAGATGAGGTTTTCTGCTCCTGTAAAGATTTACAGCCTCGGAAACACTGTACTGGGTCATTATGAGTCGGAACTGACTCTATGGCCCATAACCACCACCACCACCACCATACCAATATCAGGAGTCCTGATGTGGCGCTGTGTGGTAATGCATCAGGCTGCAAAGCTATTTGAACTGCAAGGTCGGCGGTTCAAGCTCACCAGGTGTTCCTCGGAAACCCTATACAGGGGTCGCTAGGGTCACTATGGGTTGGAACCGACTCAAAGGCACTTAACAACAACAACAACATACCAATGTCTAGAGTTCTGGTGTGGCACTGTAGGATAATGAACTAGACCACAAGGTCAGTTTGAACTGTAAGGTCAGCGGTTCAAACTCACCAGCAGCTGGTCACTTTGGGTCGGAATCGATCTGATGGCACTAAACAACAACAACATGCCAATATCTGGCACAAAGTTGGTACTTAATTAATGGTTGATGAATTAATACGCAATCAAAGGTGTGCATTATTATCCTTGTTAACAGATAAGAAAACTGAGGCCAGCTGGCTTGACTGCACAGGGCACTGAAGTGAGATGCAGCTGAGTATCCAGAGCTGTCTGGCTGCCCAGCCCCAACCCCTTCCCCTCTGCAGCCCAGAGAGCTACCTAAGGACACTGGCTACCAGTGTGGCATGCCCGAATCCAGCATCCCAGGAGGAAACTGAGAGCCACAGAGAGGACTTATCCATGACATCTCAAGGCCTTCAGCCCCCAGCCCAACCTGAGTGGCTCACAACTGCAGGCCCATAGAGCTAACAAGGAGGAAAGGTCAGTGAGCAAGGCAAGGCACTCACGTCCTCTGGCAGGACCGACTCCTTGACGCTCAGGAGCTTCTGGATGTGCTTGGCAATGCCCACTTCCAGCTGGGGACACAACATGGTAGAAGGAGCCAGACAAAGCATGAGGGATGGGGGTCATGCTGGGGGCCTGGTTTAGGGGCAGGAAGGGGTGGGGTGGGGGGAATCAGCCTTGCTTAGGGTCAGGCTTCAGGCTGCTGGAGAGGCAGGGGGGTGGGGGGCAGGGGACTCTTGTGGCACCTGCTTAGCCAGGGTTTGGACCCCAGTGCGGATCTCGTGACCCAGTCCTGCCAGCGCGCCTTGCAGCTGGGCATGTAGCGTGTGCTGCAACTGTCCCTGCTCCAAGACAGCACCGACCTGCCGCTCCAGCGCCTCCCAGGCCAGCTGGGTGGGCAGCTTGCCAATCACCAGCCTCAGCTGCTCCATATCGTTCACCACCACACACAGCTGGGGGAGACGGGAGCACAGGGAGGCAGGGTTTCCTGGGCAGCACCAGGGCTGTAGGCTGCACCCCCACCCTGCACCCTGGCGAGCCTAGTTCCAGCCCACAGCGCTCGCTCTTACCATGTTGGCTGCCTGACCCTGGTCCTTCTGGCCTGCTGACAGCTCTCGGGCCCGGGCCTTAATGAGGCTGCAGTACACCAGGGCCAGTCGGCAGGTGTCCTGGGTCGGGGAGGATCAGAGGGATTGATCGGTGGGTGAAGAATTCAAAAGGGACAGGCTGTGGACTCACTCAATCATAGAATGGGGGAGGTAGTGAGGCTGTCCTGGGGAAGGTGGGAGGGGCACCATGGAAGACAAAGCACCTCGACAAACTTCACAGTGATCATGAAGGCCTCCTCTGGGTCGGGCCAGTCCAGCTGCTGGGCTGTGTGGCTGATCTGGGCGAAGCAGGTGGACAGATCCACAGCTGAGGTGCTGTGTTTGGTCAGCTCTCCCAGTGGCACCAGCTGGCGGGGTGGGGGTGGGGGGGTGGGGAGGGGGCAGGGAGCATAGACAGAAAACCTCAGGGCCCTGCCTGGACCATCCCCACATTTCTTCAGCAAGGATTCACCTGTTCCTACCACGCTGTAGGATAAGCACTAGACTGCTAGCCACAGGACAGCAGTTCAAACCCACCAGTCGCTCCTTGGAAACCCGATACAGGGTCGCTATGAGTCGGAACCAACTCGACAGCACTTAACACCACCACCACCACTGCCTAGCAGAGTTGGGCAGGGGCATAGACACGTGGGGTACCTCTAAAACCCCTAGAGGCAGGGACAGTCTGTAAAATTAACTCCAAAGAAGCAAAAATCTGTAATCTAGTGTCAAGAGCACCCGAAGGGGTTATCCAGAGCTGTTTCCCCGCTTCCACAGTGCCCTGAAGGTGGGGGCAGAGCCCCAAGTCCCAGATACAGGACCCCGCCAGGCCCACTGACCTCGCTCAGGCCCGCCCCGCCCCGCCCAACACTAGCTCCTCCTCTTCCTCGCCCTGGCCCCGCCCCACTCACCCGCCCCGAGCCCCACCGCAGCCTGGATCTAGTCCCTCCTTCCCCAGGTTGTCCTTCGCCGCCCCACCTGGCCCAACACCAAGCCTCACCTTATCCATGTGCACGGCACGCTGCACCCTCGCTAAGGCCACATTGTACGTCTTCTGCAGCCAGGAGGGTATGGCCGGCTGGAACCAGCGGTGGAAGCCGTCCAGGGCCAGGACTCCTTCCCTGGGGAGAGCTGGGGTTCAGCCTGGATAAGGCCTTGACTTCTCCGAGGCCTTCCCCACTCAGCGTGCCTCCCACCCAGCTGGCCTGCAGCCCACCTCTTGGTGGGGCCCGGGCCCAGGCGGCAGAACTCCTTGAGGCTGATGTAAAGCTGGAACAGGCTCTCTCCCATCTCTGGGGACACCAGGCTGCCCACCGCCGCTGTGTGCTCCTGCACCCGTTTGGCCACCTACGCGGGAGCCGAGTGAGTGGGGCCCGGAGTCAGGACAAGGACCTGATCGGGTACCCAGCCCTGGGACTCACCAGCCACTGCAGCTCCAGGAAAGCCATGGAGAAGAGGTCGATCTTGAGGGTGCTGCAGGAAAGGCAGAGAGGTGACCTAGTGCCACCCCTTGGCCCCTCTGGTCCCAGCCATGAACCCACTCACTTGTGGAAGATCTTGTGCCAGGTGCGTTGGCACTGGTGCAAATCACCAGTGATGTCCTGTACCAGGCTCAGCAAAGCTTTGCCCGCCTCCAGGAGGCCCTGGCAGGCACAGAGATGGCTTGAATAGAGGTGGCTGAACAGGGCCCCCATCCCCCCGCCCCACCCCCACCCGCCCACCCCACCCCCTCACCTGCACCATGGGCTGATGATGCTGCTGTTTCAGGTGGAACCATTCCACGGTGCCAGTCTGCAGGCAAGAAGGCAGTGAGCCAGGAAGGGGCCGCCAGACCCAGGCCCACACCCTGCCAGTCCCCAGGATGGTCACCTACCCGCAGGGTCTCTGTCACCAGGTTGGGCAGGGGAGCACTGTCAGAACACAGTTCCCCAAAGGCCTTCATCTTGCACATCTGCACCAGGACCCTGCGGAGCCAGAGGCCATGTCTGAGATGCCCCTCACCCCGCCTGCCTCTGCCTGCAGGCTCCCCACCTTGCTACTTCCCCACCTTCCTTGACACTTTGTTACCTGAGGAGAGACTGCAGTCGGGCTGGGGAGTCAGCAACAGAGAGGGGAAAAACAGAGCGGAACCTCCGGATGAGGGAGAGGCCGTAGGCCAGCAGGGAGCTAAATGAGGTGGCCAGTTCCTCCAGCTGCCACGAAGACATACCCATGAGGGTGGTGCTGGTTTGGGGGGCACTCAGACAGCTGCTGCTGCTCCCATTCCACCTTCCAAGCCTGCCTGCCGATACCCCTCACCAACCCAAGCCCACCTGTTCTTCCTTGAGCCGACCCTGAATCCACTGGTACTCAATGCTGGTGATAGGATGCAGGAGACAGCTGCTGGGGAACTCCAGGCTCTGATAGAGGCGACTGTAGGCCAGCCACTGCCTGTGGCAGACAGGATGTCCTCCCTCAACTGGGCCCAGTGGGCACTTCCCCTTGCTTCTTCTCACCTGGGCTCAAGTGGGAGGGACAGTGCCTCCCACCTCCAGTAGATCCCCCTCAGCCACCTGAGGCTGCAGGTGACCTGCATGATTTCATTGTTCCCACCAGAGGTTTTTAAAAAAATAGAAATGAATCCCCTGAAATTAGGATTTTATTACATTCGGGACTACTTTAGGGTTTCTTGCTGCTTCTGCAGATTCCAGTTTGGGGATTTGAGCCTTCACACACATGGGAAAAATCATCTAGAATTTCCCTTTAGACATAAACCTCAGGGGACTTCACTGAAGGCATTTGAGCTGAGATTGGAGAGGTCGGAGCCATCGGGTGAAAGGTAAAGAGCAGTCCAGGGCAGGCACAGTCAAGTCCCCACTGACACAGCTGCTACCTGAACAACTTACATGGGACACCAGGCCCCTTACCACCAGGTCTCACCTAGAAACTTCCTGCCTACTGTTCTTGAAGCACACCAGCTGAAATGGCCTCCCTTGGCTTCCTTCCACCTCCCACGCAATTACCAGGTCTCAGCCCAGGCCAGAGCCACCCTTGGCTCTCTACCTGTACCCCTGTTGTACCCTCTTTCTGCACTTCTTCCAAGCACCATCTGTGTAAATATCTGTGGCTGCCCTGTGCTCTTTCTTGGCACCTCCAAAATTGAACTTGCCTAATCTCAGCAGAGATTATTCACATCAGTGACTCAAAGAAGGCTGTGTGGCATCAGGATAGAGGGGCTAGGGGATGAGGCAGGGTGACAAACTCATGCCCAGAAGGACTGGGCAGGTGATGTTTGGGAGTGAGTGAACCAGTGGTACCATGACAGATGGGGGGGCAGTCTCAGATCAGCAAAGTGATCGCCCTGCAATTCCAGTGCTAGCGGACCGTGACAATACAGCAATCTGGACTGCGTGTAAAATCTTGATTTTTAAAAACTGGCGACTCATTTCTGGACAAAATAGGAGTCTCCTGAGAGCTGCCAGCTGAAAGCAGCTGATCCACAGGGAGGGCAGATGAGAGGGGGAGGGGGCGGGAAGAGTGGTGGCTGCCCACAGAGCCCACCCAGGTGGTCCAGGCAGGGCTACCCACTCACGCCATGGACTGGTGAAAGTCAGACAGGTCCTTCTGCGTGGCGTGGAGAAAGAGGATGGTGGCAGCTTGAGGACTCAATGACCCATCCCAGGACGTACTACCTGCCTGAGGAAGGTGGGACAAGGGGGTGTCAGACTTGACCGTGGGCATTGCCCCACCCCCCACCCCCAGCCCTGGGAGGGCTGTACCTGGTGCTGGATGACCTCGTGAGATACAAGCTGCTGCAGAAGGCGGAGGTGGACTGTGTAGCTGGGCTGTGAGCGGCTAGCCCTAGTAGCTCTCTGCAAGGGACAGGCAGGGCTGTGAGCAGAGAGGACTCCACCCTGGGTTCCACCTGCTCTCCCCAACCCAGCCGGGTCCCTGGGCCAGGTGACAGATGTACCCGCTTGTGGATGAACTGGAATTGAAGGTGGCACTGGCCGCGGTCGGGGTAGGTCTCAGTACAAGGCTCCAGAGGATACCATTGGTCCTCGCGGCTGCGCAGGTGCTGGGGAGCATGAGCTTGCACTGAGTCACAGGTAGGGAGGTGACGGGAGACCAGGACCCCTTCTCTAGGATCCCTTTCCCACCCTGCTCACCTGCAGCCTCAGCACCACATTCCCCAGAAAGTCATCCTGGCCCTTGTCCTTGCGGACCTCCTTAATGATCCTAAGCCAGGGAGGAGTTCCGGGAGGGTCATCAGGCTGGGCCCACACAGAACCTGCAGCCCAGACCCCAAGAGGGAGGCCCCTTGGCTGCTCACCTACGTAGGCCATGCAGGTCTGTCAGCTCCCCTAGCTTCTGTCTGACGGACTCCACTGTGTCCAGGTCCCTGGTGGCAGCAGTTTGAGCGGGAGGCAGAGACAACATCCTCAGAGTCCATGACTCCGTCCAGGAGGGGCCTGCCACCCTCATCCCCGCCTTGCCTTCTCTTCCCCATCCCTGGGTGAGGAATGCCCACTCACCACATGTCCAGACGAAAACTGGCATTGGCTATATCCTTGAATTCCCTACAGGGAGAAGGGGCACCATGAAGCCCCCCGACTCCAGAACTTGTCCCCAAAGCTGCTCACTATCCCCAGTATTATCCACCATGGCGTCTTAGCCCCTCCCTGTCTCCCTCTGCCCAGCTGTGCCCCTTTCCCTGTAAGCTGCAGCTTTAGGCTACACTCAGACCATCTGGGTCCCAACTCTCTTTGCCCTGCCTACACACCTGGCTCTCTGCAAAGGGACAGGCAGGGCTGTGAGTTTATGTCTTTGGTCTGTCCTGCCTGGCCAGCTGTCTGTCTACCAAGGCTCAAAAGAATCCTTTTCCAGTCTTCACCCAGTGTCCCACCCCGACTCCCAAGGCAGGAAGACACCCTCTTTTCCTCACTAAGACCTCACAATGAGTGTGGCCCCGGCAACATACAGAATGAAGGTCTCCTCCCAGACAGGATTGAGTGTCTGATTGATGACTTGTGTACGATGGGTCTGCTCCTCGGGGATGGTGTCCCTCACCACGGCCTTCTGCCGCCGCCTGGCCCCAGGACTGCCCCCAGAAGTGCCTACCCCCTGCTCGATGCCTAGCAGGCAGTAGGGGTCACTGAACCCTGGGGAGGAAGGGAGGTCCGGGCAGTCAAGGAGTCAGCTTAAGGCCCCCCACCTCCCCAGGGTGAACTTCCTGCTGGAGAAGAGGCAAGGGGACAACAGGGGTGAAGATCTTCTACCCTTCCCAAACCTGAGGTAGGCCTGGGTGCCACCTGGGAGATGGACCCCCTGCCCCAGCTCACCACTGACATCCTTGCCCAGAATGTTCTTGGCCTGCTTCACTGTGGCCTTCAGAAAGAACATTGGCTTCTGGGGGGACACAAGGGGGCCCTGAGTACCAGACTGGCTGGCTCTCCTCCACCCCCTCCCTAGCCCCTGCCATTCTTTAGTTCCGGGTCACCTGGAGCTCCCGGGCGTTCTGCAGCATCTGTTGATGCTCCTCCGGCTCCAGCTGGAAGGCCTGATGGGGGAGGTAAGGGTGGGTAAGTGCCTATGGGTGGTGGGTGCAGAGGTGGGGAGCCTGAGGGGGGGGCGGGCGGGCTCACCTCCTGCAGATATCGTAGCAGCTCAGAGGCCTCGCTTACATGGTTGGGTTCTGGCTGGCCCAGGCGGTGCAAGACTGTATAGAGTGCTTCCTCGTAGAGCAGGGCCCGCTGAGAGGAACAGGGTGACCTAAGGACCTCAGGACCCACCCTCCCAGCACCCCCTGGTCACCCTGACACCAACCCCAGAGTAGGGGAGTATCAGGGGAAGGGGCCAAGGCCAGGAACTCCCACCCGCAGGCAGGCCGCTGCTCTGGGTTGCTCCTAGTATTTCTCTGCCTGCCCCCTAACACTTCACCTCTTACCTCTTCAGGGGAGAGGTGGTGGGATGGAGGGTCAACCTGGGAAAGCAAGATGAAATCCAGGTGTCCTTGGAGGCTGCATCCAGGCCCCACGGGCAAGAACGCCTCCTCAGAGACTGGCCCGTAGGCAGCAGGGCACCCCCTCTCAGCCCCCCTTGGGTCCCCCCCCACCTGTTCCGACAGCAGCTCCCCCAGGGGCCCGTCCTGAGGTCCCGCCTCCGCACCCCCCGGCCTGTTGTGGTTGGGGTCCATTGGTGCTCAGCTGCCCCAGCTTGAGGGCTCCGCACACCCCCAACCCTCCTTCCTTCCTCAGAGGAAACAGCACTGCTTATCGGCCCGCGCTCCTCACCCCACGGCGGAAGTGAGGCCCAGTAGCAGAGGTGGGAGACTGGGGGGAGGTTGCTGAGTAGGCCTGGGGGTCGCTGGAAGGGGTCTACGCAAGCCCACCCGGCAGCAGGAGAGCCCTGCCCAATGGAGCCAACACTTCCCGACAGAGTGGAGCTGGGATGGAGGGATCAGCCCACCCGAGGGGAACAGACACCCAGGAGATCAGTGCCCCCACCCTGCTCCAGTGACTCAAGGCTCTGCCCAGGGCAGGGGCAGGAGGGTTGGGGCAAGGGGACCTCGGGGGTCAGGCCTTCATCCTTTGCCCCAACCTGCAAGAGGTGGGAGGTGGGGCCAGACGTCGATTGACTCCTGACTCCTGCACCCAAGACCGCAGAGCCCCACCCAGGCCGTTCGCCTCCCTGACGGCGGTCGGGTGAGGTCATTCCTACCTCTCGAACCGTTTGGGGTGGGGGATCCTGCAGATCTCGGGCTTTGCGGCGTCTTATCTTGATGGCTTGGCGCAAGAGGGGAGGGCGCCTCTGGGGTTGGGAGTGGGGTGTCGCCATGGTGCCGGTTCTGCCCTTCCCCTCGGCTGTCCCTGCTGCCTCGGGGTGAAGACAGTGAAGCCGCAGGATTATGCAAAGAGCCCCCGGGCTGCCACCTCTGCCAGGGCAGGGCGGGCCTAGTGGGGAGGACGGCAGGATGGCAGGGTCAGGTTCCCCACTACAGACCCGGGCCAGGCCCCGAATCTTCCTCCTGTGGGAGCGATCCCGCAGGGATGGCCTGGCTCGAGGGGAAGGTGGACGTGTGGGGCGGGGCCAGCCAACCCCCTCCCACAGAGGCCTGGGCAGGGTCAGGCGCTACCACCAGGGGGCACCAGGAGTCAGCGGGCAGAGCCCCTGGCATTGGAGGGGCTGTACATGGGCTGGCAGTGGTCCCCCACAGCTCCTCCCTGCATGAGCCCCCAGTGTGGGGTGGACATACAAGTGGGGGTGGGAGTGGGGGTTCCAAGAGGCGTCTCCCCAGTAGGTGACTGCTCAGCTTGCTCCACCCCACAGGTGACATTCCTCCAAGGTGACAGGGCAGGATTGGACACCCCAGCCCCCACCCTGACACTTAGAGGAGGGTGCTGCCTTCAAATGCCCTTGTAGGGGGTTAGCCAAACCCAAGAGCTCCTGGGCGGGGCTGCCCAGAGGGAAAGGGTAGGAGGCAGTGCTGCTTCATCCCTCCCAAGAGGGCAGCTTGGTCCAGAAAGGACAGGAAATGGACACGTCAGAGCTGTGCTTCCCAGAGACCCGTGACCCCATGACATGGGGGGTCCAGGCCTGGGTGTGGCATCTTGTCCTACCCTCCCTGCCCCCAGGCACGAGGTTCATGTAGGTGGTGACCAGCATTCAAGTCCAGACAGGCTCCAGAGGGTGTTGACTGCCTCCTCCCTCAGACTCAGGGCTGCACTTCCAAGAAGAGTGAATTGGGCTGGGCCACAGAACTCCTGACCTAGGCCAGGCTGCTGCCTCCAACAGCCCAGGCACTTCCTGGGCTCTGCCACCAGGGTGGGGTGTGGTTACTAGGCAACTACTGTGTGAACAGGGGCAAGAGAAGGCAGGGAGAGGCCTTAGCCTGTGAGGACCAGAGGGCCTGGAGGGAGCCACACTGCACCGCACTGCACCCCCTCCACCCCAGCAGTTCTCCATCACCACACAGAGTCAGACGTCGGTACTTCATTTTTACTATTTCACATTTTCGGCAAACAAATCAAGGTGCAATCGGGGTTTATTTTACATTCATATATTAACTGTATTTTTGTCAAATAAATAGGGAGTCCTCTTTAAATAACCCTCCTCTCACTTCAGGGCCAGTCCAGGAGTGAATGAAAGCCAGTTTTAGTGCAACGGGCGAACTGCCAACCGGGCGGGAAGTGGGCAGGCTGAGGGGATGGTAGCAATTCCTGACTGGAATAGGGACCTCCCCTGTCCTGGGGGTCAGGGGCCCTTCTCAAAGCCCCCAGGGGCATTATGGGATACACATGCATTCTCCACTTCCAGTCTGAAAAGCTCCTTCCAGAGAAAGATGAAAACAGGCAAGTGCAAACAAATTTCAGAAATGTGACCAGGGAAGCCAGAGGGCTTCTTCAAGCTCCAAAAGTCACACTGAAGTGGCAATACAATGACCCAGGACAGGAAAAGGAACGGAAGTTGGAAATGAAGGCTTATGATCTGGGCTGGGAATGGAATGTGGGCCCACAGTGAGGGCGGAACTGTGGCCTCCCAGAGCCAGGGCCACAGCCAGACCCGTTGAGGGAAAAGGACTGGATTTCCTTCCAGGTCCGGAAGGCACAGGGCTGTCTGTCAAGCTCAGGAGGTGCCATGCGAGGCAGCTGACGTGAAGTGGTTACTGAGATGACGCTGGACTAGGATGGAGGTGGTTAGAGACTCCCTCCCTGGGGAGAAGCTACTTGAGTGAAACAGAACAAGGGGGACACCCTGACATCCTGAGGGGAGCCTAAGATGGAGAAGGAAGCTTGGCTAACATGTGCTCCCGGCGATTGTGGGAGGCACCTCCCCACAGACAAGGGTCCCCTCCCCAAAGCTGGTTTCTGCTGTTTATCATTCAATCTGGAAGAAGAACAAGGCCCTCCCCACACCTCCCCCAGCCCCAGACTTGGCCCCCGGGGAGAGGTAGGAAGGAGGAGTGAGTTGTGGGAGGCAGTGCAGTGATGAGTCATCTACTGGGTCTTCTTGTCTTCAGGGGGATAGTAGGGAGGTGGTGGAGGCTGGTTCTGAGGAAGAAAAGAAAGTCCATGTAAAAAGGATCTAAACATGAGGAGTCCTCCCCCACCCTAAGTCTTTATCATCAAAGGCAGAAGGGCACTCACTGTGGGCATGTAGACGTTGTGGGGGTTGCCCGGGTCGTAGTAGGCGCTGGCAGCTGCTTCTGCAGCCTTGGCTTCCGCTGCATGAGAGCAAACACAGGTGGCCAGTAAGTCCAGGTGAAAGCCCTCCGCCCCAGCCTCCCCTTAGGCTCAGCCCAGAGGACCCAACGGAAGGGCCTGGTGCCGAGTCCTGCCTCCTCCTACACAGGAAGCCAGCCCAGCTGAGTTTACTGAGTGCTGATCATGCGCTAGGCACTGACCCTTCCATTCCTTTATGTGTCCCCTGGCCTAATCCTCCCCACAATCCTCCGGGTTCCTTACTATTAACCACCAGTGGGTGGGTTCGGACTCCACAGCAACCTCACCTGTGTCCGAGTGGAGCTCATCTCCACACAGTTTTTCAATGACTGCTTTCTCGAAAACAGACTGCCTGGACGTTTTCCCAAGGCACCACTGGGTGGACTTGAACCTCTAACTTTTGAGTTAATGCTTGCACCACGCAGACATGCTAGTCACTGTTAGCATCCGTTTTGTGGGCAGTAAACTAAGGCACTGCAGTCAGCTGACGGACAGAGTGGGGACAAGGACTCTAGCCCCTTTACCACAGTCATCTACCTAAGTGTCCTGTCTCTAAGCCCAGGGTCCGCTCATCACGTGGGGCTCCAGCCAGTCTCCTGCCATTCTGAAGCTCTCCACACCCATGGGGAGGAGGGCTGGTCCTGGAAAGTTGAAAGGAGGAGCTAGCAGCCCAGGGGTCTTACCTGCGGGAGTGGAGGGAACTTCAGGGCCACTGACCGGAGGCTCCATGGGCCCAGGGTAGGGAGGTGGAGGGGGCTGCACGTACCCCATGGCCCCATCCATCATGGGAGGTCCTGGATAGAACTCTGTTCCACAAGAGAGTGACAGAGACCCAGTGAGCACCATGGTCCCGGGCCCCGCGGAAGGCTGTCCCTGGAGCTGCACGCTGCCACTCTGAGGCCCGGCCAACGCCTGCCATTAGTCTTGGAGTGAACCAAAGAGCAAGTCTCCTTTGACAACCCTCTGGCCTGGGTGGGGGTGGTTAGTGGGTGGGTGGGATAGGGGGTGGGCAGCAAAGGACACTCACCAGGTGGGGGCGGTGGGTAGGGGTACCCGGGAGGGCAAGGGTACATTCCATTGGCGACGGGCGGGGGAAAGACATAGGCCCCGCTGGGCATGTAAGAGTACCCATAGGCTCCATTGGGGGCTTCACCTCGGGAGGCTATAAGCACAAGGGGGAGAGAGACGTGAGTGTGAGTGTCGCCTGCCTGGGGATGGGTGGGGGGGTGGGGGAAGCTGCAGGGTCCAGGAATGTGCACAGCAGACGGCACCCACCCTACCCCGCCCTAACCTCACCAGAGTTGCCATTGGGCTGGAGGAGGTGGGAGATCAGAGACAAGGGAAGAGGGACCCAAGCAGGAGAGAAAGGTGGATGGAGGGACCAGGAAGAGGTGGGGTGTGGATGTAGGGGTTCAGGAAAGAGTGTAGGGTGGATGGAGGGGGCCGGGGCAGAGGCAAGGAGTGGAGGGTGAATGGAAAGAGGGGTCAAGGAAGGGGGAAGGAGCATGGGGCTGGCTAAGAGTTGGGGATAAGGTACGGGTATCTGCTGTAAACATCTTGTGGCAATTTAAACAAATGCACTTTAATGGCTGGGTGTTTCGTTTGTTTGTACGAGGCCCTGTTAAAATGTCCTTGCATCCAAACAGCTTTGTTAAAATGCCAGAAACCTGCTTCAAGTAGCGGGGGAGGCTGAGGGGTGCCAGCCTCTGAGAGAGAGGCCAGAGCTGGTGCTAATTACAGGCTTCCTTCTACCTGGGCAGCCCAGCGCTCAAAGGCTTAGTTCTTGGGTGCTTACAAAACAAAACAAAGAACCAACAAACTCAAACAAACAAATAACAACAACAACCCCCTACCCACCCACCCCCACACGGTTTGGGGTGCTCTGGGTCCCTACTTTTCAGAGCCTTAAATACCTTGAGATGCCACCTGTAGCATTCGCTGTCCAAACTCAATGGCGCCCCCTGATGCAAAGGTCAACTTGTAGGAAGCAGAACCTTCCCAACCACCTGAAAAGGGAATTGTTAAGTGCTGGAGACTTGATTCCGACCCAAAGCAACCCTGTGTAGGGTTTCTGAGGAGCAGCTGGTGAGCGTGACCCACCGACCTTGCAGAGGGAGAGGAATGAGTAAACAGCTCAGAAAGTAGGTTATGTCCAGAGACATGGCTGTGTAGCTGCTCCCAGCCCCTATCCAACACCTGGAGGCAGAGGGTGGAATTTCTTCTCCCGTCTGTCTCCTTGCCAGGGCTGCTGTCCACATACCTTCCTGTACCTGCAGGATCCTTTTTGTAACAAGCCTGACGCCCCACCCTTGTAAGGATGCTTGTACGAAGGCCACAGTGTTTTGGGTTGGGACCTAGCATCTAGGGGACTGATTTTCTCAGTAGTAGCTACTGGGAAAGTAGCTTCATAGAAAGAGGCAATACGCAACCACAACTGATGTTCTAGCTTGAAGCAGAACACTGTGGTCCTTCTAATGACTTCTGCCTGAGGCGAGACCACGAGCCCCTCAACAGCAAGGCTGGGCCTGGTGGGTATGACTGTAGGCAAGTCCAAGGTCTCTGGTAACTGCAGAGAGGACCCTGCTTGTCAACTCGGGGCAGCTCACTTTCCCTGCTTTAACAAGAAGCCCCTCCCGAGCACGGGATCCAGCTCCTAAAACTTGGAGGCATACAGGGCATGGTAAGACTCTGCCTTGCTTAGCTGTCCATCTTTCTGCTGATTTCACTGTCTGCTAAAGCGAAGTGAGCTGCCATCTTTAATGCAAGTAATTCCCAGCTCTTGGCAACCCAAACCCCACCCCTGCTGACCAGCTGGCCGCTCACGTGTAGCTCTTGGCAATTAACAAGAAACACACAGGCGAGGCTGGCACAGGTCCACCCAAAACACCTCTCAGGGAGCCCCATCTGGGTCCCCGATCTGATCTCTTGTCACTCACCTCCTGCCTCGGCCTTCACAGTCCCTTTGATGTAGTTGGCACCGAACACAGGCTGTTTGATCTCACAGTCCTTCATCAGGTAGAAGGGCATCATGAAGGACTGCATGGCATCCTTCCCCTTGGACAGGAAGATGACCTGCGGGGGAAAGGATGAGGCTGTCCCTACCCGGACCCAAGCCTGTTCGGCCATCACGTCCTGTGTGAGGCGGTGACTCCCAGCACCAGGGAGCTTGGCAGGGCAGCATGCCACTCTGCCCAGACAGTAACAGAACCATCAGCCCAGGCTTGGAGAACCCCAGGATGACTTCAACCCATGATGGAAGATGCCAACCTGAACCCCCAGAGTCTGTGATGCCACTGGCTTCTCTCCTTCAACTGGGGAGTTGCAGGCAGTATATTCCCTGGAAACCTTTCGGCTGGCGTGTTTAATGCTGCAGGTACACCAGGCTTGCTGCCCAGGTTGGAGGCTGTGGCCATGCTGCTGGGTCATCTGCCACATCTGTCACTCTGGATGTGCACAGAAGCCCCGCGGGCCAGTCTTAGGGAAATCTGAACAAAATAAAAGCTTCTCCCTTTCAAGACTAGGTCATGCCAGCACGTACATCCAACCACAGAGACACTTTACAGCTGGTAGCTCTGGAATCTGCTGCTAAGAGGTCAGGTCAGCCACACGAGGAGGCTGGGGCACTAGAATCTATAAGCATATGACTGAGAAATACTGACCCAGCATTCAAAGGCCACTCAACCCACGAGGCTGAGGTGGACCTCAGACCCACATCCCTGTCTCAACAATCAGCCATCCCTCTGTGCAACTCACCCGATAGGGGGTCAGGTAGACGGTCCCTTTCTTGGTCCCTTTGAAGGCCTCTGGCACATTTTTCATGTCACTGAACGTAAGTTCCACATGTTCATAGGACATCAGGATGCTGTGACAAGAGGGGACAGAATGTGCTGAGACTGTTTGCAGACAAGATCTGGACCCCCAAGGACTCACCCCACAAGGCAAGCAGCTGCCTATCAGCAGTTGCCCGCACATCCCCTTATGTAACTGGAGGAAGGAAACAATTAGTGTAGGAATCAACAAAATGAGTGAGCTGGGGTTCTGCAGTGCCTAGAATCCCCCAAAGGCCCACTTAATACAGCCCCCACTTGGTTAGTGAGGTGAGGGAGCTACAAGGCCCTCCAGAGCGTGGCTGAATTCTCTGGCTGAACTGTACTTCTATTTTGTGATAAGTGTTCTGTTCCATTTCTAAAGTCTCTATACAAAAACCATCCTGTGACTTTGAAACTTTCAAAAACGTTTTCAGGCTTCCTTTAAACCTGAGTCTACCAGGATCAGCTCATAAAGCCCTTGAAATGGTCATGTACAAGCTGGGGGGAAATGGGATGAAAGATAATGCAATTTTCCCACAAACTTTCTGAAGTACCCTTGGATGTGCATCACTCTGAGGGGAGAGTCCAAGGCTCTCACCACCCTCAAAAGGGTTCATGACTAGATTATGGTTAACCGGCATTTCTGGGTGGTGCAAATGGGTAACACGCTCAGCTGCTAACCGAAGAATGTTAGAGCTTCAAATCCACCCAGAGGCACCTCGGATGAAATGCCTGGTGATCTATGTCTGAAAAATCTGCTACCGAAAACCCTATGGACCCCCTTCCAAGACTGAGACTCAAGGGGAATACATGAGCAGCAGGCATGTGGTCAGACTGGTGACCACATTGGTCACCGATAAGCGGAAGAGGGGGAAAAACAGCAATGAAGTTGTGAGCTAAGTCTGACCACGTTCAATAGACTCCTGTGAACATGGGTGGAGACCTGGTTGTCCAGCAGTATGGCTAGACCCAGGGACTCCTGGGCCTAGAGACAGTGACATGGCCACAGAGGACTAGAGCTGAGAGTGAAGCATCCAGCTGATATGAAGCGAGGGGAGATGCACAAGAACACCCACACTTGCAGATAGTACCCACTTGACCTGGCTTCAATGGCTGGATGATCAGAACTAGACTAGAAGAAGAAAAAGGGGAAAAAAAAGTCATCCACTACAATTTGATGTACTTCACCTATACTTATGGATAGCTCAAAAGAGGGAACAAATCTTTACAGCGAGGATCATTCCCACCCCCTCGATACACAGGTATGGGCAACTGTGAGGGTCGGAAATGTAAAAGTAGAGGTTTTATAGCAAAAAGAGGGGAGTGGTTGATTTTGCAGTCCAGGAGTGGAGGTCCTTGGAACCATCAAGTGAAAAGAGTGGAGTGTGGGACCCTACCCAGAGAAGCAGTGAGGCCAGAAATGGAGGCAGAGACGATGACGTGGAGAAATGGAGCAGCTGGAGACTCTGGACTCAAGGAGGGAGAGGGGCTGTGTACTGACGGCTGGGGAGCAGGCTTGCGGAGTGTACCCTTTGGTTGTTTGATGATACATGGAGGGGACTGTGGTCATTGCAATGAAACGAAATACGATAGAATGAATGTAAAGCTGGTGTTCTCCCATGTAAACTATCACATAATTCACAATAAAAACTTAAAAAAACAAAAAACAAAAAAACCTTTGAGTCAATTTAAAAAAACCCTATGGAGTTTAGTTCTTCTCTGAAACATATGGAGACACCAAAAGTCAGAACAGACGCGATGGCAAATGGTTTGATTTATTTTAAACTGAGGATGGAAACTTCAATGATTATATACAACAATTCTTTGTTTTCCAGAAAAGACGCTGAAGATTTTTATAAAGTAAGGCACACCCTTTTTTTAAGAGTCATGGTGCCCTGAGCCAAATAGGAAGACCAACAGGATAGTTTTTGTCTCAGAAAGACACAGCTGAGAGAGAAGAAATACAGTCTCTGGAGGGAGATGTTACCAAATGGCACTCCAAGTGTTTATCCAGAGTTGGGAGCTGGATCGCACACAGAGAAGCTACAAACCAGAAAGTAGTATGAGGTTCCTCAGATTACAAGATAAAAGGGCCGTGTCCACAGGCCATTTGTCTCTTTCCTCCTCCCAAACACCATAACCTTCTTGGCTAGGGAGGGAGAAGTGGATAGAAAAGAGAACTGCTACCAGAAAAGCAGAGCTCACAGAAGACAAGTAATGACCAGAAACAGATCAGCCCCTGGGTAGGTAAGATGGTGGGCAGAGTCAGAATTCTGAGGCCCAAGTTCATCCTAGGTGTCTCTTACTTATCCAGCATTCTCAGATGATTGGTCCCAGGCTGGGTGCTGGCCTAAGATGGCTACCAGGCCACTTCCAGCATGTCTCCTTGGGGACTGAGATTCCTAAGCTCCCTCTAACTCCAAGAAGTTCTCCCAGGTCAGCATGGCTGGCAGGTCCAATTCTCAATGGCCAAGAGTAAGAGAGAAGAGAGTCATTCCCTGAGAGTAGTTTTGAGGTTGGGGGAGCGAAATAATTGATTGGGAAGGGATGTAGAAAGTATACTGGAGTTGGGAGACTTCTGGACTATGGAATGACCCAAGTCAACGGGCATTCAAGAGCAAGAAACAAGGGATCAATCTTGACAAGGACCAGCACTGAGCCACTCTATTAATTTTACCTCTGGGGCCAGGCAGTAAACCGAGCAGTTCTGGAATATACCGGATGAATATGTACTGTATGCTGCTTATGGTGTCTGGGGTCAGGACTTCCTGGAATCATCCCTTTCTATTACAGCTCTGTGATCTTGTACAAGTTTCTGGGCCTCAGTTTCCCTATCTGTAACATGTGTATAATACTATCTATCCCACGGAATTGTTGTTTTGTTGTTAAGTGCTATGGAGTCGGTTCTGACTCATAGTGACCCTGTATAGTGTTTCTGAGGAGCAGGGGGTGGGTTTGAACTGCTGATTTTATGGTTTGCAGTCCACCACACCAGAACGTATTAAATTCAGTAGAACATACTCAGAGCGAGACACAAATAGCCTAGTAATGATAAACAGCAATTATGCTTGCCTAAAAGTCCTAGTGTGGCGCTGCGGGTTAAGGTGCCAGACTGCAAAGCCGTTTGAACTGCAAAGTTGGCGGTTCAAGCTCACCAGCTGCTCCTCGGAAACCCTCTACAGGGTCGCTATGGGTCAGTATGACTTGACGGTACTTAACAACACAACAAACCTCTGGTGGTGCAGTGGTCTAAACGCTGGGCTGCTAAACACAAGGATGGCAGTTTTAAGCTCGCCAGATGCTCTATGGGAGAAAGATGAGGCCCTCTGCTCCCCTAAAGATTTCCAGTCTCGGAAACCCTGTGAAACAGTCTCACTCTATGGGTTGGAAGGCTCTTCCCAGCTCTGAGTCATCGTCTCTGGTAAACATGGATCAAAACTCACCCCTGGGGTTCACTCTGCTCGAACCCCGTACCTTCCCACAAACCCCACAACTGAACGGAACATCCCGGTCCCTCCCCCAGGATCCACCCACCTCCCTCCAGTCCCGCCCCCAGCTGTTCCCCCTCCTCCTGCTGCACCCCAATAGTTTCCCCTCCTTATGTTCTGTCCCCACAGTCTACCGCGCACTGTCCACGCCATTGACACCCGCCCTTCAGTCCTCCAGGATCTTTCCGAAATGTTTTCACCTCTCGGTGTTGTTGACGATCACTCCGCCGCCCTGCGAGTGATTCTTGTTGAGCGCCATAGTGTCGGAGAGGGGTCCCGAGACTCACAATGCAGTGCGCTTGCGCTCCTCTTCGGCCCGCCCCAAGTGGCGTCGTTCGTATTAGAGTTAGCCAATCATAGCTCTTGCGTGGAGGCTTGACCAAACATCTGATCACAAGCGTCACGTGGTAATGGTTTACTCCCTCTTCCCCATTTCTCTTCCGCCTGCATCACAAACAAGTTAAAGACTTCAAGTGCCGAGGTTGCTCTTGAAACCTCAACCGCTCTCTCTGTGAAGGATGCATTTCGGAACTTGTAGTCTCTCAGATCAAAGGTTTGGATTGACTAAGTTGAAAGGAAGCCGGCACGTAACAGCAACAACAAAAGGAGTTTCAGTGGCGCAGTGTTTAAAGCTCTCACTTGCAGACCTTAAACATCAGCAGTTTGAACCCAGGACTGTTCCACAGAACTGCTTTTGTGAAGATCTGTAGCCTTGAAAACCTTATGGGGGCAATTCTACGCTGCCCTATCCAGTCGCTATTAATTACCACTGCAGGGGTCTTAGTGAAGCAGTGCTTAAAACAGTCGGCTGCTAACTGGAAGGTCAGCGATTCGAACCCACCAGAACCCTTAGTGGCAGATTTGGCAGTCTGCTTTCATAAAGATTTATTATTGTTGTTATGTATTATGGAGTCATTTCCAACTCAGAGCAACCCTGTATAGGGTTTTCTAGGAGCGGCTGATGGGTTTGAACCACTGGTAATCCAGTACTTAGCCTACAGAGGCACGCAAGGACTCCATAAAGGACTGATAAAGATTGTTGTTGTTGTTAAGTACCATTGAACCAGTTGTGACTGATAGTAACGCTACTCACAACAGAACAAAACACTGCCTGGTCTTACAGTATCCTCACAAGTTCAGCTCTTCTAAAACCTATCCACCATATGTATTCATTTGAAACCAGTGGGGTAGCTTCCAACGCTACTACTGTACAACAAACTGACCGACCGACGAGTGGGTCTGGAAACAATCTTAGTAAAATCAGTTGCTTTGGAGTCCTCTTTGACTCAAGGCAAACCCATATGTGTCAAGAGTAGAAGTGGGCTTTCTAGGGTTTCCAGGTGCCGAGTTTTTCAGAAGTCAATCTGAAGGTCTTTCTATGGAGGTACCTCTGGGTGAACTTGAAACTATAACCTTTGGAAAGTAATGAAGAATCAGTTAACTGTTTGCACCAACTATGGAGTCCCAGCCACAATGTTCATTCAGTGAATGTTATTATTAAGTGGTGCTGAGTTGGTTCTGACCTGATGGTGCCCCATTAAGTGGCTATTTCATGCTCCACATCCCATATTTACTTTACAATCCCTATTCTGTGGGTGTTTGCTGTTTGTTGTTAAGTTCCATCGAGTTGGTTCTGATTCTTAGCAACCCTGTGCACAACAGAACCAAACAGTGCCCAGTCCTATGCCATCCTCAAAATTGTTTTTATGTTTAAGCCAATTGTTGCTGCCATGTGTCAATCCATCTTGTGGGGGGGTCTTCCTCTTTTTGCGGACCCTCCACTTTTCCAGGTATAATGTGCTCTGGAGAAAGGTGAGGCTTTCTGCTCCTGTAAAGATTTGCAGCTTCAGAAACCCTGTGCAGGGTCACTATGAGTTGGAACCGACTCCACGGTACTTAACAACAACAACAACAACATCCAGGGACTGGTCCCTCCTGATAATATGTCCATAATATGAGTGACGGAGTCTCGACATCCTTGTTTTTAAGGAACATTATGGATGCACTTCTTCCAAGGCAGATTTGTTTGTTTGTCTGGCAGTCCATGGTACTTTCAATATTCCTTGCCAATGCCAAAATTCAAATACATTGATTCTTCTACAGTCTCCCTTCACTGTCCAAGTTTCACCCATATGAAGCAATTGAAAATACTCTCGTTTGAGTCAAGCACACCTTAGTCTTCCAACTGATATCTTTGTGAGTTCTGTAGGCATACAGCCAAGGCCACCTGAATCCAGACATCAAAGTGACATAGCCGGCCACCACCTCACACTGGCATGGCTCCTGAACAACCACGTGCCTCCAACTTCCCAAAGAGTAGGTTCTGCGTTAGGGGTGGATAAGGGTGAGGGCTAGTCGTACTGTGGTCACCAGAAATGTGGGGGGGGAAAGACAGTATCACACATTTTCCATCAATCGTGAATCTGCTCTGCCAGGACTTCCTCTGCTGCCAAAGCTGCTCACAAGATGGTGGAGCCACATCTGGTCAGCTGTTCACCACTAGTCTCCCTCTCTCACAGTCCCTGATCAGCCTCTCCTCCAGCAAGCCCTCCAGCCACCTCTCTAACCTCTCTTCTGAAGTTCAGGGTGCCACGATTTTCATCTGTGTCTGTTTTATTTTCTCTCTCGTATCTTAGTTGTAGAGGGTCCATGTAGTGTGTCTGCCTAGTCCGCCATCTTGCCAAAAGTCCTGTTTTCTTTGTTGTTGGATAACTTCTGCGTTCTGTTGAAGAATTAATTAATTTTTCATCAATGTGGGCTCAAGACCTTTAGAGTTAATTCCTATAAGAAGCCAAATTGTTTATTATTCTAGACTTATTGCGGATGGGAGTAGGTAATACACAGGTTTCAAATCCAAAATCCAAACCCGTTACCATAGTATTGTGACCCTGTGATACAGAATAGGATTTACAAGGCTGTAATCTTTCCTGTCAGTTTGTCGTATTCTGGTGGCTTATGGTTGAAGCTATGCTATCAGTATTTTAAATACCATCATGGTCACCCCTGGGGGGCAGGTTTCACTAGAGCTTCCAGACTAAGATAGAGTAGGATGACGAAGGGCAGACCACTTCTGAATGGTTAGCCACAAAAAACCTTATGAATAACAGTCTGATATAGTGCCAGAAGATGAGCCTTTCAGGTATTAAGGCACTCAAAATACAACTGGGGAAGAGCTGCCTCCTCAAAGTAGCATCTACCTTAATATCATGGATGGAACAAAGCGTTTGGGATCTTCATTTGCTGATGGGGCACAACTCAAAATTAGAAGAAACAGCTGTAAACATTCATTAATAGCCGGAATGTGGAATTATGAAATATGAATCTAGGCAAATTGGAAGTTGTCAAAAATTGAAATGGAATGCCTAAATATTGATATTGTAGGCGTTAATGAGCTGAAGTGGACTCGCTTTGGCCATTTTGAATAAAACAATCATGTGACTTACTATACCCGGAATGACAGATTCAAGAGTAATGGCGTCCTGTTCTACATTAAAAAAACACAAAAAAAACATTTCAAGATCGTTCTTGGAATATAGTGCTGTCTATGATAGGATAATATCCATATGCCTGCAAGGAAAACCAGTTACTACAGCTATTATTCAAATTTACTGACCAACCACCAAAGTCAATGAGAAAGAAATTGATGAATTCTACCAACTTCTCAAAAGATTGAAATTGATCAAACTTTCAATCAAGACACACTGATAATTACTGGTGATTAGAATGCAAAAATTGGAAACATAGAGGAAGGATGTTGTTCTTGTTAATTGCCATTGAGTCAGTTCTGACTCATAGTGACCCTGTATAGGGTTTCCAAGGAGCAGCTGGTGAGTTTGAACTGCCAACCTTGTGGTTCAACCCAACCTTGTGGTCCAGTGCTTTATCTCACAGCCCCACACCAGAACTCCCACGAGGAAAGATAGTAGTTGGAAAATATGGTGACATAAATGACAGTGGAGATTGCATGATAGAATTTTGCAAGACCAACAATTTCTTCATTGCAAATACCTTTTTTCAATAACGTAAAAAGGTGACTATACACCTGAACTTCACCAGATGAAATATACAGGAATTAAACTGACTCATTTTGTGGGAAGAGATGAAGGAGAAATTCAACATCATCAGCTAAAACAAGGCCAGGGTCCAACTCTAGAACAGACTATCAATTGATCATATGTAAGTTCAGGTTGAAGTTGAAGAAAATTAAAACAAGTCCATGAGAACCAGAGTATGATCTTGAGTATATCCCACCTAAATTTAGAGACATCTCAAGAAAAGATTTGATGCATTGAACACTAATGACTAAAGACCAGAGGAATTGTGGATGACATCAAGAATATCATACATAAAGAAAGCACACAGTCATTAAGAAGACAGGAAAGAAAGAAAAGATCAAAATGACTGTCAGAAGAGACATTAAAACTTGCTCTTGAACATAGAAGACAGGAAAGAAAGAAAAGATCAAAATGACTGTCAGAAGAGACATTAAAACTTGCTCTTGAACATAGAAGACAGGAAAGAAAGAAAAGATCAAAATGACTGTCAGAAGAGACATTAAAACTTGCTCTTGAACATAGAAGACAGGAAAGAAAGAAAAGATCAAAATGACTGTCAGAAGAGACATTAAAACTTGCTCTTGAACATAGAGTAGCTGAAGCAAATGGAAGAAATGATGAAGTAAAAGAGTTGAACACAAATTCCAAAGGACAGTTCAAGAAAACAAAGTATAGGGTTATAATGAAATGTGAAAGACTTAGAGTTAGAAAATCAAAAGGGAAGAACATGCTCAGCATTTCCAAGTTGAAGGAACTGAAGAAAAAATTCGAGTTGCAATATTGAAAGAGTCTGTAGGAAAAATACTGAATGATGCAGGGAGTATCAGAAGATAGAAGGAATACACAGAAATCATGGTACCAAAAAGAATTGGTTGTTTAACAATTTCATGAGGTAGCATATGACCAAGAACCAATGGGATTGAAGGAAGAAGTCCAAGCTGTCCTGAAGGCACTAGTGAAAGACAAGACTCCAGAAGTGATGGAATACCAATTGGAATGTTTCAACAAACTTATGCAACACTGGAAACACTTAGTAATTTACACTAAGAAATGTGGAAGACAGCTACCTGGTCAACCTGCTGGAAGAGATCTGTTTATGTTCATTCCAAAGAAAGGTGACCCAACAGAAAACAAATTATTCAGCAATATCATTATTATCACACACAAGAAAACTTTTGCCAAAGATAATTTAAAAATGATTGTAGCAAGATAATTCATCAAC